CAAGCAGATGTATACACTTTATATATAATTTATATTTATAGTATATGAAGAAGACTCATTACTGATGGTTATCATATATCTCTGTTAAGACACGATGGATCCATGTAGCTGAATCAAGTTCTTAAGGGGTACAAGGAAAGAATTTTTATTATCATTCATATGCAAGTCTTCAGAGGTCACAGTGACATCTTGGTTATGGAGTTCCTGTCTCTGTTGTTCCAAATGAAACTCAGGCTGCATCTCTCCTGAACAGAGAATTTGTCCCTTCTAAGGTGTGAGTGTCTTTGCCTATGATCACACAGCTTTGAGTCTTCATTACTTTGGGATCTTTCAGGGACACTGAGCTTGCCTCAGGAAGCATAAAACTGCAACCTTTATTCTAACTAAATGATCAGCTATGTTGATTTGTGCACCTGAGAAAAACACACAGAGAAATACAATAAAAGGCTAGAGAGTAATAAAATCAAAACAGGGTATGAATATGAATGAAGAAATTTGTCAGCAGTGAACTGATGACGCCTGGTTTCCTACAGGATTGAGCTTCATGTTTGATTTACTGGTACCAAAAGGGTGCAAAAGAGAATTGAAGCTTTCCTTGTTTTACAACGTCATTGTGTGGACTGTTTGCTATCCAGTGAGATGTGATTTCTTTGCCATCCCTACACTATTTCTGTAGCATCTATTATGCAGCTGCATGATTTCCTAGCACTTGTGGGAAACAAGTCATCTTCTTAAAGTGCAGTAGAAATTAGTAAATTATTTGGGAGATCATGGCAGGAACAAATACCTATGTGTCCACTCGCACAGGCAGACATGTCCTGAAGACACTTGTGTAAGCTCTGCTTCATGAGCAACCAGAATGCCAGTGGAGAGGACAGAACATGCAGGGACCTCTGGTTGGAGCTAAGTGTAGAATTGTTTAGGTTGGAAAAGACCCTTAAGATTATTGAGTCCAGTCATCAGCCAAGTCCAACTAAATCATATCCTTCAGCACCACATCTACACATTTTTTAAACACCTCCAGAGATGGTGATTCCACCACTGCCCTGGGCAGCCTGTTCCTCTTGCCATATCGCTTCTTATCTGGGAAAAGAGGCCGACCCCCACCTTGCCACAGCCTTCCTTCAGGTAGTTGTAGGGAGTGATAAGGTCTCTCCCGAACCTCCTTTTCTCCAAGTTGAATGCCCCCAGTTGTAAAAGTAGTAACATTGGGGAATTTTATTTCTAAAAGAGGCAAGCATTTATTTTTCATCTAGAAAGCAGTAATTTGAAATACAATTTTGCTGATTATGGCTCATAATCACTAAATCTTGCATGTAAATATTGCTGAATATGAAACATTGTCTTTAGCAATTTCTAAACAGCAGAAAGATTTGTTGGTTGTATTTCAGAAATTATAAACTTTCAATAGCTTTTTTTTCAGGCTACTGTAATTTTTACAAAGGAAATGATATAATTTTTATCCCTGAAGTAAAGATGTACAGTTCTCTACTACAGTTCTCAATGTAAAATAATGTGGGCTTCAAAATAAAAAAAGGTGCTTATGGCTGATGCTAGTCTGAATGGTTTGAAGAAAAAAACTAATGTCCAGGATTTAATTAGAACACATACTAAAATGAAGCAACTCTTTCAACCCTGCAACCATCAGGGTTTTAGGAAGCAAATGGAAACCCTCATGATGTCCATCCTGGCCCTGAGAGAAGAGGCATTTACCCTCTGCCCTGGAGGCAGTTGCTATAGGACTTCATGGATGTGCTTCTACCTTAATGTGGTGTCACCAGCTTAGCCCTATTTCATAAGCTCACTGCCATGGCCATTTTTATGATCACTAAGTTCTATATGCACTTGTTCCCATACCCATTCAAATAAAATGAACAGCAAAGCCTAATATTTTGTTGTGTTGTCCAGTGTGAGGAAAACAATGTCCCAGGTTCTACTCTTATTATTTCAGCCTTACAAAGGTGAAGGATTGTGGGTGGTGCCAAGTTCCTGAATGTGTTTGATCTGCAACTTAGATGGTGAGGCTGAATGAGAGACACTCTCTCCTTTTCCTCAAATGAGTTATGTAACCATATATATATACATATATATATATATATATCTCTCTCTCTAAGGACCCAGTAAGTATTAGAGACTTGGCACAATTCCCTTTGGCGTCATGTAGGTCTGGGACTAGCTCAACTGGGCTTAAATAAAGTCCTGTGGCTCTATTTAATAATGAGAAGTAGTACCTGTTATATTTTCAAGACACCATTTGTGTTGCCTAGTAGTAGTAGTAGTAGTTCTATATAACTGTAGTTGTGTCTCATAGTGTAAAGTTGGACCTTATTTGCTTTTCTACCTTGTTACAGCTGTTAAAAATCTTATTGTTTCTATTTCCAGTATAGTCATTAAGGCACCATTTTAGAATCGTGATTACTATACATTTTCATTTTTCAGCACTGTTAACTCATTTCTGTGGAAACAGTAGTAGAATCCTTCTAAAAAAAAAATCTTACCTAGTTTTTGAAAATATGTATAGTTGTTTTCAGAAAAGTAGGTTGCTGTAGCCAGAATCGGGAAGTGTGTGTGTGTTGTTTACAAATATCTCCCCATAGCCGTACAGCTGTCATCATGTTATATTTGGCAAATAGGGATAGAAAAGAAAAAAAAATCAGAGTTATATATAAAGCTGGAGTATCTAGCATAGGGGCAGGATATAAAGGCTTCTAAAATACTTGCCAAGAACTGACTAGAACACGTGCTGCTTCTATGATTGCTTTGCATCAGGCCTTTGCATATGGAGAGAAAAAAAAGAAAAATGCTTAGCATAAGGCTGAGAAAACTTTTTTCTGCCCTGAGCTATCTCTCTCTTTTAGAACAGTAGGCTTGGATGTTTGCAAAGGCTGTATTGTTTCCAATCAGTGGATCAATAAAATAATAAACACAAACCACTAAAGTTACAATTTCTTTTGACGGATTGTGCATCTGAGGAAAACTTTGTTATTAAGAAACTATGAAGACCACTGCTATGGAACATGACAGATAGTATTTTTCCATTAGACTTCCCACACTTACACTGTTGCTTCTATATTCAATTAAAACTGAAATCCACAATATCATTTTAGATGAATGCTTCATTTTGAAGTTACAGGGAAATTAGAAAAAAAATTTTTCAAGGGTGTGTGTGATGACGTTGAGATACAAATTTAGTGATCAGTGCCCACGATCAAAGCTGAGCCAGCTCCTTCACTTCAGCCTTCTCTTAATCTTATGCTTGGTTTCCTATGCAACAGTTCATAAACATTGTGGAGCCTGCTTTTATGGATATGCAAAGCATTAGTCTCTTTCAGAGTCTGATTCGCAGTGTAAAATCTATTCCCTTTTCTACAGCCCAAATATTTGGGCTCATTGAGAGTGAACAAAAGAGGGCCTGGCAAAGAGCACATCTATTGTCTGGCTTGAGAAACCACAATGCCCTTTCATGCCACTTAAGTGAGGGGCTGGAGCAAGCAAATACTTAATATATTTTCCCAGTGCCTCATAATTACTAAAACAACTGTGTGCTGATCTGTAAAGACATTCATAGGATTGATTACAATTGTTAAGCATGGGATTTATCTGCCTAAATGTCAATGGCATATAGCTGAGCTCAGCTTCAGCTCCCATTATAATAAAGGGAAACATGTGATGGTAGTTGAGGGAATATCCTAAAAAGCCTGTATTTTTACTCTGTGCACCTAATTCCCCCCCCCTTTCCATACACACACACTCCCCCTTCCCATATTTTCCTCCTACATAACAGAAATTATGAACTCCAGCACGTTTATAAAGTCACTGTCTACTTTCTTCTCTAAAAATAAACAATGTATTCTAACAACAAAAGAAAGAGAGGAGCCAGGCTTGAATTAGAGGTCATAGATTCAGAGTTAATTTAGAATTTGGCATTTGACTCAGATATGATTGGCAAGGAGATTTCCAAAAGGCTGCAACTGTAAATTGGAAATAGATGGAAACGGATTATGAGAGTGGGAGACAGCTTTGAATCTATAATATATGTCCCGAGACTGACTTGCTCATAAAAGAGCAAGTGTCTAATGTGTCATAAAAATATTTAAGCCACGTTGGTCTTTGTATAAATATTTCATTTTTAAAGTTGGATTCTGGAGTGGCTAAAAATTAATTCAGTGTGCATATCCTTGCTATCAGTATGAAGGATAAAAAAAAAGGATCATCAGAAATTGTGGTAGGCTTTTTTCTCCCCTCCAGACTCATATTCTCACTAGATTTTTATGTTATCTTTTGTGTCCACATGATTTTTTTTTTTTTAGGCCTTGCTATATCGTCTGTTTCATTACATAGTGTTCCTCTGGAAGAGTCTATGGATCTATTATTTTAGGAAGCAGTTTGGAGGCAGAGTGAATTCCTGTCAAGGAGGCATTCATGGGGGGGAGGGGCGACTGAGGTGTCCAAAAGGGGCACTCATCTGTGTTCCTTCAGCTGCTTCTGTCCCAAAGATGATATATGTCTGTAAATAAAGCAAGGTATATTCTGAATGTGCCCATGTTCTGCATCATTTGTTTTTTCACTGTTGGGAAACTAAACTGCAAGAATCTGAACATCTGCTACCACCTGGCAGCTCAGGTGGCTCAAGGAAAGAGTAACAGCAGTTAGAATAGACCACCTCTTAAATATTCTGTATTTTAATTTAAGCACAGTGTTCCTAATTTAACTCCACACTGACATTAGTACCATATGTAAGGAGTAGTCTCTAGGGCTTTAAGAAGCCATTTAGTAATGCTAGAGGAAGAGGGAAGGCCCTGGCCAGAGCTGCCCTCACCAGGTCCCACTGCGAGCATCTGGCCGATGGCCTTTCTGGGTGAGTATAAACTGGTGCCCGAGTCTGTACTTCCCTTCTACAACAGCACGGGAAATACAAATGAGCCCCAATTCTCCAGTGCCACTCAATGCGTAAGACTTAGACCTCTTTGGTCACAAGTATTTTATGCTCTTCCTCACAGGTGAAATCTGCGCTTTTAAAATCCATGGACAAGAAATGCCCTTCGAAGCTGTTGTGCTGAACAAGACGTCTGGAGAAGGTCGCATTCGAGCCAAAAGCCCCATTGACTGTGAGCTGCAGAAGGAATACACCTTCATCATCCAGGCCTATGACTGTGGGTCAGGACCAAGTGGAACAAACTGGAAGAAATCTCACAAGTGGGTGAAAATGAGGAGATTTTATTTCTTTTTGCTTTGGTATACATTTGCTGTACAGTACAGATCAGATTGAAGGTCTTATTTCTATATTTTAGTCAGGTAGACAGCAAACAAAACCAAGATGAACCATTGTAGCAATAATCCACCTACTTTTCATTCCTTTTAGAAAATTTTATTCTTTTTTGGCTCCTGCAATTTGACCTGTTCTGCAGCATTCCAGGGAAAGCTCTTAACAGGATCCATGTTCAAGTGTAGAAATGCATCTCAGTTTTGGTTTATTTTTCCATTCTTGCTTTCACATTAAAAATGTTGACTAAACAGATCAGCCAGCACATGGAAGCTAAATTGTAATTGATACTTACAAATTCTAAATGTTTTTCTCACTCTTCATCTCATTTCAAACGTTTAAAAAAAAAAAAAAAAAAAAATGATTTCTCTTTTCTTAAGTATGTGCATGTATATTAGCTGCAGCAGTGCTGCCTTTGCACTGTGTGTTTCTGACCTCAGTGTTTGGGCAGCGAGTCTCAGAGGAATTCAGATCCTCTGGAAAAAAGAGGATATTGAAGGTTAGTAGGTGGTACTTTTTACTGTGGAATGAATTCCCTACATAAGCTTAAGTGGCACAGTGCCTTTTTAACTCCTTAATTCATGACACCGAACTCCAGAGCATTTGTCATTAAAGATGAATTTAACTCACGTGTAGATGTATAACTGCTGTACAAATTGTTCGTGTTGCTGAAAGCCATTTAAATAAATGATTAATAGTAATAATTCCTCCTTTTGTTCATCCAGGACTCATGACAATTAAAAATTTAATTAGTTCTATAATGCATGCTGAACTCTTTCAGGGTATTTAAGGAGTACATATTTAGGAAAAAAAAACTGCAATATCAAATAAACATCAAGTCACAGAAACAGTTTTCGCTTCATATTATTAATTTTTATGATGCTTTTCCCTGACATGCTAGTAGCAAGGTAGTATGTTCCCCTTGGGGAAAAAATTGGTCTAAAACTGACCAAATGAATCTTGGTCCATTGTGACTAGACTGTTCCGCTTCCTTGTGGTGTTTTGTATAATAAACCACGTGCTAAGCTGGGCTGTCTGGGGTCCCAACCTTTACTACTGGTTCTGCTGATGATCTAGAAAGTACCTTCACTTCTCTGTCCTTCTGTTACCCCTCCTATCAAACCAAAGAGCACATTCTTTCAGAGGAAAGCCTTTGAAGTTTGCTCATTAAATAATAAAGGCTCTTATTTTTGACCCTCAAAAGTTTACATGTGCAATGTTGTAACTAATTAAAGCATTAGATAATTATAATCTGCAGAAGGAGAGAGGCTTATTTAATATAGAAAAATGTTCATAAAATGACCAGTTTTAGGTAGTGAATGTGTAAGACTACTGCAATTGTTTTCCTCTTTTTCTGCTTGTTAACCTAGTTGACACTGAAATGATATCATTGACTTTCTGCTGGGGTCCATTTTAAGAGGCAGTTACTTTAATAGGGAGCACAGAGAAGACCTCTCCCTACAAGCTGTGATACTAAGTTTTTAGCTAGTGCCACATTAAGATATTCAGTTGGGTAAATTAAATGTAGACTTCCAATATTTCATTTTAGCAGTTTTTTACATATTTTTCTATTTATATTTTGTTAGTCTTTTCAAGTATTTTCAAAACAAACTGTTAGTGATGTGTCACGGTAAGTTAATTTTCCTCTTTGATGTCTTTACCTATTTCAGGGCAGTGGTTCATATCCAGGTAAAGGATGTCAATGAGTTTTCACCAGCTTTCAAGGAGAGCGTGTACAAGGCCACGGTGACAGAGGGAAAGATCTACGACAGCATCCTGCAGGTAGAAGCCATCGACGAGGACTGCTCCCCACAGTACAGCCAGATCTGCAACTATGAAATTGTAACAACTGATGTTCCTTTTGCTATTGACAGGAACGGTGAGTATGGAGAGGGAGCAGAGGCAAGTTCTGGCACAGATAGCAGCAGTTTCTGTGGATAGTGGAATGACCTCTTGATACTAGCTGATAACTTGGCTTGAGCTTTAACACAAGAGAGTAATCCTGTTCTCACCTCTGAGAATGAAGGAACTAGTACACTGGGAAATCCTATCCCTTTCATGTAGGACTTGGTCAGAAAGTGCCACAGTAATTTATTGTGGAAATTAAACCTCTGGTTTTACAGACATGTTTCTCTGTCGCTCAGTCTATTCTCTTCCTTGTCTCAGATGTAGCATCCCATCCAAGTGATGGCATTTCCTGATGCAGCATTTAGCCCTACCCTAAAAATAGGGTCTGTTCACTGGTTTGTAGCTAGTGCCCTTCTGAACATTCTGGAACAGAGTCTAAATGTAGAATTGACAATATCCTGGCTATCTTTGTTGATTATTAAAAATTTCAGGGTTTGAGTCTGCAGATCTACCCATTTGTGATGATTCCTGAAGCAGATCTATTATTCTGCAGTATGGAAGAAAATATGCTTCAGAGAAGTAGTATTGGTTTTTTATGGCATTAGATTTCAGTTGGTTTTCTAATGTATAGAACATTATAGAGAAAATAATAAATCATACTGAGTTTTCCCTTATGCAGCGATTTTTGCCCCCAGTGGCCCTGCCTGTCAGCTTCCTGCTTTCACCAGCTGAGCTGGCAGCAGGGAAAAGCAGAGAACTTGACACGAGTTTGGTAGAGGTGGCTGGGCTGCATTAAAAATGTGCTGGAGATCCTCCCTCCCATTCTCTGCTTGCTTCAGACAACACAGCATAGTAGCTTTGTCATGGAAGTACTTCAGCAGTCCCAGACTGGCATTGCTTTGTAGGTACAAGTCCTTGTTACTGATATTCACACGTGCACCCTTGTGCGGAAGTTCAGAACTGAAATTCCTGTGCTCACAGCACTCCTCTCCTCAGCACAAGCACCCTGTGTGCACGTCCATCAGTGCTCTGATTTATCTTTCCTAGCAGAAGCATTTAATCCATGTTGTACGTAGGATGAGAATACTCTTTGGAAGTTAAATCTGATTTTTGGCCAAATTGGAAATTGAAAGCATGCATGGAGCTGCTGTTTCCTCTAAGCAGTCATTTTCATGTTGGAAAATTATTCATCTTTATTTGTGCAGCTCTTGCACAATGCACAGCTGAGCATCAAAAGATAATAACCTGCTAGCATCAATAAATTGTAAATGACATTGGGGAGAAAACTGTCTTGTTAGAGTACATTGGGAGGCATGTATATGGTATAGGAGCTGTAATCATGATAAGTATGTTTGTGTGTAAGTAAATGAGGTCAGCTGGCACAGTAATCTTTTGCCAGAGGATTGCACAAAGGATTTTTTACAGAAAGTGAGCATTTGGAGGTGGATGGTTGCGTGCATTTCCCCAGAAGCTTTTCCTTGCTGTGGATTTTTTTCGAATGGAGATTTGCCATGTTGTCATTAAAAGAAGTTCTCCATGTTTCTGGTTGAAAACATTATTTTTCCAGAGTACCACGTGAGTTACCAGTATGGGGCTGGTAACTTACTAATTTACAAAACCACCTGTGACTTGTTTATCAGATTTGTGGCAGATACCTTGGATAAATAATACACTGAGATTAGCATGATACAGAGCAGACATTTCTTTTCCTTGTACCTTTTTAGCTCCTATCACACAGTGCAGCTGGCTCATGGGCTTCTTACAGTCAAGAGGCATGATCAAAAGCATGTCAAGTGTCAGGAATCCTTGGTTACAACTTTGTCCTCCTGTGCTGGGAACCTGCTTTTCAGCAAAGGCAATGAGGAAATCATTGATTTAAACATGACTTTAAAGCCTGCAGTGAATAATTGGTAGGAGGTTGTAATAGTTGCAGTTTCTTGGTCATGAATTCAATTAATATTTTTTTATCTATTTGTTCACTAAAAGCAGAGTGCTGCCACAATCAACAGTAATTGCAGTCTAATTTGCAATTTTTAAAGATAATGGTAACTGCTTAAACCCACTGGGATTAGAGACAGAGTCAGAATAGATGGCTGCACTTTCCTTTTGTGACAGAAATAAGTTGCTTAGTTCCAACACGTTTCACTGCTGAGAATGTCTCTATAGCAGCTGATATAAAAGCGCTTTCTCTGATGGAAATTCTTTGGCATTCTGCCTATTTTTGTTACATATAGGGTCATTAGAAAGATGCATGAGATACCTGGGACTGTCTGTTAATACTGTGCTAATTAGGATGTTGTTTATCATTTTCTTTTTACCCATTGTGAAAAACAAATCTAGGTTCTTGAGTCTTCTGCAAGTTTGTTGTTTTGACGTTTTTTTCTGCTTCTCAGTAACATAACTGTGGAATCTCATTGCCCAGACACAGTATTTAACCAAATGCTTAGAAGCAAATTTAAATATTGCAGAGTACCCCAAAAGTAGGGGCTGTGTGAGGAAAACCTGCTATTTCCAGTCCTAGGTGGTAGATCTTTTTCCTATAACCTATGAAACATAACCACAAAGACAGGCTTTTAGAAAGACAAACACCCTCTTCCATCAACTTTCTTCTTTTGGCAAATCATTGTCTTTTTTCTAGGCAAAACTTATTTCTGGAACCTAGATCAATCCAGGGAGTATTTTGTCATCTTGAAAAATTATAATTACACAGGGGGGAACATATGCAAAAGGGAAGAAAGAACCCTCCAAACCGTAGCAGTGCATTTCTCATCCCCAAATGGTGTGGAGCACAAGCTGATGGGCATCCAGCACTGACACATGAAGCAGCATGCAGCTCTGCTAGGTCTTTGTAAGTTAAGCACCTAAAAGTAGGTAATTAAAGGTTCCCATTTACAGTTGCAACTTTCATCCGTGGTATGTAACTTTTTTATCAATAAAATTAAATTATTTTATTACTGTTATTCATAACACAACACTAATAAAATTAACTCTTGTATCTGATGAGCCTAACTTGGAAGATAATGAACTCTTGGTCATACAGTACAGTTTTGTAAAGGCAAAGAACAAATTTATGCTTTCCTATGCAAAGAATTGGGACTAAAGTTAAAGAGATATATTTTAAGAGACTTTTGCATGCAGTTTAGTCTAGTTGTCTTCTTAGCAGAGAATTCTGATCATCAAGTGAGATATCATATCAGTATTGTGTAGACTTTTTTCAGGTAACAGGAAAACCACAAAGCACAGGTCTGTTGTAATGCCAGCAGAACAACATTCTTACACATTTTCTGTCTTGATTTGTCAGGGCCCACAGTCAGGTGATCAGAGAACTCAGCTATAGATACAAATTCTGTCACGGCTCCAGCCTACTCTCATCTCTAAAAGGGGGATAACTACACTTGCCATCCACCCCAGGAAACACTTCACAAATATATGTTCATATTGTCAATAGGAAGATTTTGCCAAGAAAAGTTGGACCAGATGACCCTTGAGGTCCCTTTCAACCTGATGTTCTATGATGCTATGAGGAAGAGTTACTGACTTAACTGTGCAGTCAGTACAGGTTCTATCAAGTTAAAAAAAAACAGATGTAGACAGGATCTCACAAGGTCATCAGTTGTAGAACTGAGCTATGCAAACTTCACATCGTCAGAAAAGTAGTGAAAATTCATAGCTAAGCATTTGTTTGGGATATTTATTAAACCACAAATTCTTTTGGTTATCATTGAAAGTGCACTTTTTTGCTAAGAAACAGTTCTAATCCTTCAACTGACATGCTCAAATACAGCTCCTTGTGACTCTTGGGAGCTGAGAATGTTGAGCTGCCACTCCTAGGAGCAGACTGAAGTCAGAAGCCACTCATGTAACAGTAGCCCTCACCTTCTTTAAGAGTTATGAGATTGTTTTATACTTTTTACACACTCAGGAGTGTGAAATGTAAGAGGCAGTTGCCATAGTGAATGAGTCCAGTCTTTCACTGTTCTTGTGACTGCTCCAGAATAAGATGAAAGAAAGTAGTAAAAGAAGGAAGTCTGTGTCAAACTGTCCCCAGTGCTGACCCTCCAGAAACAGAGGTGTAAATGTGTGACCTCAGGCAGGAATTTTATGTTCCTGTTATCACTTACCAATTGTTTGTTTGCTTGTTTTTTAAATTTGTTACAGCTTTGGGTGTTTTCAGGAGAAGGCAGAGATTTAGAAGATGGAAAAAAAAAAATTATGGCCTGATTGAACTGTGTAGAAAAGTACTTATCCCATTAACTTTCTTTTTTGAATGTTATTGTTTATGGGTAAGATGTAAATAGAAATTCTCAGTCTATGGTCTCTAGAACTTTAATTAGTCTGTATTTATACTGCTTCCCTTCTGTCTACCTTTTAATCATATTGATTAAATTTTGAAACGACAAAAGCATAAAGCATCAGAGGTAACAGAGAAATAGAGTAATTAGGAAATCAATAAATTATTAACATTGTCAAGACATAGAAATGAACTTTCAGAATAACACCTAATAGTCAGAATCTTTGTAGCCCAAATCTTGAAAGACCATAATGAAACAAATCTTGGAAGACAGATTTAGTGAAATGCAAATATGTTGTAATGATCTTAGAGGACAGTTAATACACCACACAAATTCCAGCAGTCTGATAATGTACTTTAAGACTATTTTGGTCTCTTGAGAATTATTCTCAGCTGACCATGGACTAAAATCATACCAAGGATAACCAAACAGGGAGATATAAAGATTCAAGTAAGGAATAATATAATGCAGGAAGAGCATATGAACAGGTATTAAATTAATAGTTAAATATACAGTGGCAGTTTTTTATTAAATCCTCTTATGCAGGTACTAATCAGGCAGCTCAAGATAGTAAAATCGTTACATTAAATTCTTTTGCTAATTACAAACTCAAAAATAATGAAGTAGTTGATATCATTATGCATTTGCTTTTCTGATGAGAAGAGCTATCTACATGGCAGAATTGAAAATGCCTGGCAAGGTGAGGTGCCTGAAACACAACCAAGAAAGCTGTAGGACAAGCACTGTTTCTCTGTTAGCCTTCAGCAGGCCCTTCTGCTTCTCCTCTTGAGACAAAGCTAGTGATAGGGCTTGTCCCCCTCTATGCCCTGCTCAGAAAGGGAGGAGTAAAGGCTCAGAGTCCACAGAAATGGGGTATTGGGCTGATTTATAGCTGCAGATGCAAGGGTCTATTTAAACTACAGGTTTTGAACCAGAAGATGGTGATAATTGCAAATGCAGCCTTGTTTCAGGCCTGGCCCTGAAAGTTTTGCACCAGTTTCAATTTAACTACTAAAGTTAGCTTTAATGTAGAAGTCAGAAAAGCATTGGGCTCTGAAAAGGTAAGGAATGTGCATCAAAGACATCTGCTAAAAGTTTTTACTTGTCAAACTAATGTAGAGTTGGTGAAAGAAATCAGGAGTTTCCTGTCTGCTTTCACCTGTCTCTAATGTGCATCAAAGACATCTGCTAAAAGTTTTTACTTGTCAAACTAATGTAGAGTTGGTGAAAGAATTCAGGAGTTTCCTGTCTCTCATTCATCTGAATGAAAAAAACCACACCAAACCCCACACCCCATCCAAGGCCAGCACAGTAACAACAGATACTTTAACCAGCACCTGTGGGAATCAGATCACTATTTGAATGAACACCAGGATTTGGGTGCTCATCATTCCAAATTTATTGAATTCTAGAACACATTCCCTCATTCAAAGAGATGGTATAACCAACAGTACTGGGGAAAAGTGTAAAACCTATTAGGCAGCCTGAGGGTTAAACTGGAGCAAGAAGTGCCCTGCAGTGCAAATGGACACAAACTGCTGAATGTGTTAATTAGAAAAACATTCTGCATGGTAATCTTTCAGTCCTGCAGGAAGTACCCTGAGAAAGAGCTCTCCCTTTCCTTGTGGAAGTTGTAAAGTCTATGTTCTTGAAACAGGTTTTTTCAGACAGGCTTCTTGCTGCCTGTGTCAGGTTCATCAGATAATCTCTGTTCATGCTGAGTTTTATTTTTCCTGGGATAACTGTTGTCATGTCAAATGCTGTGAAGTGCTCTAATGTAGCAGGTGATTCTGGGGCTTTTGTTACGTTTGAAAGATCAGGGAAAGGCATTCAAGGGCTAAAAGTGTCTCAGCCAAAGGGAGCTTTAGGGAAAAATGGCAGATACTTAGGCTGGGAAGATGTTCAGCAGTGGATCTCCAGAACGTGGCTGCCCTGTTAAAGCAGCATATTCTGGGAAGATGTGGGTAAAGATTGCACCCACATACTTTGCATTTCAAGATGCAACTGCTAATTAGTCTGATTGACTTACTTTAGAAAGTGTTGTTGAGCAGATATATTCTAACATAGATATGCCTGTATTAAATATTTAGCATTTTATATTTGCCTAAAACCTACTGCTGGACTGAACAAAAATACTTCCCATCCCTCATAGCTGTCCTGCCTGTGGATGTCTCATGTGCTGCAAAGAGCTTTCTGGTCACAAAGAACCTAACTGGACCCAAATGTTACAGTCTGTATGTGCTTATACAAGAAGTAATTTCTGGATGTTCTTATATTAAATCATTAGGTAACATCAGAAACACTGAGAAACTGAACTATGATAAACAGCACCAGTATGAGATAATGGTAACAGCTTTTGACTGTGGGCAAAAACATGCAACAGAAGATGTCTTAGTACGAGTTCATGTCAAACCAGTGTGCAAGCCAGGCTGGCAAGGTAAGGCTTAATAATTTACTTTTTTTTGTTGTTTAAATCTCTTTTCTTTGGTGTTTTCTCTCCACCTTACAATAAGGAAACCAGGGTGCTTATTACAGTGATATAGAACACTTGCTATTTCTTATACTTACTTCATTCCAAACCTGTAAAGAAAATGGGTGATAATACCATACTTGTTTACATTTGCCACATTCCTTCTCTAGTCAGAACAGATTAGATAAAAAGGAAAGATTTCTATTCTAAGAAGCTATTTTATAATTTAGTCTGAATGTACCGAAACATTAAAAAACCCACTTCTGATTTGCCTTTCTCCCACTACTCCTTTAAGTAAGACTTTTGAAGTTGCCATGACAAGGCTGTTTTCCCACTTGTGCCAGAGTTGTTCAGATTATCTTGTTCTAGGTACAGAATTGGTTTTCATGTGCATGCATGAGTCAAGGCACACTCAACCAGTGGGAGTGAAAGGCATTTTTTAATCCTGATTACTGTCTTCATATTGAGACATTGCAGTTAAGCATTGATTTTCTGAAGAGATTGTATGGCTATATGGTCTGTTCTGTCTAAAATGGTGGGATAAAAAACAGCTGGCAACATACTAGAAGTATATGCTACAAATTGTAAGGAATTTAGATGAAAATGAAGACTGGATTAGGGACAATACCAACTGGATGTAATCACATTATGCAGATGTCATTCAGGACTAACCTGACATTCCTAATTGTAATTTTTGAAAAGGATTATTGAGAAGAAAAAAAAAAAAATCCGTTTTACTGTTGTATTTGAAGGTGAATTTGCAGACTGACATTTAGACAGAAAAAAAGGTTTTCTTTGTAAAATGAGAAGCCCTGGGCTAGAGGACCTTGTAATGAAATAAATGCAATATTATGATTCCATTTTTCACAGTCCTCACTTAAAGCAGAACCACATTTAAATGTTTAAAGTTCCCCACACACCAGTTTTGAAGATCATTCTTATTAGAAAAAATAGATTGCTTATAAACTATTCCACATTCTGATATTGTTCATAGCTCCATGATTTATTCTACAAAACCAGTGTGGTCTCTTTACATTGTAGAAATGTTCTGTTTCTATTTTATGGAGTCATCTCAAATGACATACTCCAAAATTTGCTTGGAATTTGTATTAAAATGGGTGAAGTTGTGGATATTTTAAATTTCCATGTTATTTCCATTTCAGTATTTTATTTCTGGAATCATTTTTGCAAAGATACCTTACTGTATGTTTCTCTTGTCCAATATTGTCATAATTTCATCATTCAAGCATGACATATATAGGACAGATGGTCATTGCTGGTCCGTCCAGGTGGGTATAGCCACCAGGTAGACAATAAAAGTAATAGAAATTACTTCAACTACTATTTGTTTTAATTTCCTTTGATGCTTTGTTCATCTCAGATTATGTGAATTGTTTACCAAGTATTTTAGTTTTTAATGAAAAGATAAAGTTCAGCTATTTTATGCATGTAAAATTAATTTCCTTCTGATCTAGAAGTCAGAGCTATATGGCTGATAGTTTGGTTAACACAAGGTATTTCATACAGGAGGCTGCCAGCTTATTTTTAGGGTGATGGTGAGAAAACAGTAAACAGCATCTACAAAGCAACAACTCTTAAAAAAAAAATAAATAATGTTTAAAGCAGTTTGTCTACAGCATCTCAAAGAGCAAAGGATATGCTTTGACAGTATTCATTAAGCTTGAATTTGGGCTTTTTGTTTATTTCTGTGGCAGTTTAGCACAAATATGCTTTCTCCCTTCTGCTCTGAAAGTTTTGTGATGGGCCCTTATTATATGCAAGGTAAAAAATTGGAAAAAGCTCGGTATGTTTTGCTTTAGCATATTCCATGCCATCCATGTGGAATTCTGCCTTTCCATCTGTCAGACAGGCAACAGCTTCAGTTCACTGGCACGTCTCCAGGTCAGATGGCACAGAGTGCAAGTGGGTACTATTTGCCTACTCAGGGTACAAGGTCTTTAGGTAAACACTTGGGTAGATATGCCTTTAGCTCTCAATTATTAAATCATTAATTATAATTTGAAAATCAGCTGCAAGGTAATGCTTCTAGAAATTTCTACATTTCTCCTAATGAGATTTTTTCATGCCTGCTTAGTGCTAAAGGTGAAGATAATCACATAGGTGATGTCATTTTCTACTTTGAGCCAGTATCTGTAAAAATTAACTGCTGCTAGAAAAAAAAAAAAAAAAAAAAAAAAAAACAACTAACCAAAATTTACTAGTAGTATTTCCAGTGCTTAAAGGGGAAATCTGGAAACTGGGAACAGAAGATGTCTATAGTGTTCTTTCTTCCCTGTGTCTGTCACTCTAGCTGTCCCTCAAAGAGGCAGCCAGCAGGTATGCTCCATCTTCTTTGGAGTAATTTTATCATTGAAAAGATCAGATGACCGAGGGAGGTACAATAATGTTTTGATTGACAGAAGAGATGAATATTCCAAGCCTTTGGTTCTAATACAGAAGTTACCAAAACACAGTATATCATTTTTTTCCCTTGTTCTTCAGTGTTAGCTTGCATATTTGGAATTTCCACTTATAGTATTGGTGGATAGTTCTTAAAACCTACTGGCTTCAGTAGTCTGAAATACTGTCCAGTTCCGTCAGTGACTACAGTGAACAGAGATTGTAGGAGTCTAATGCACACTGAGCAGTTACAATTTCAGTGAAGTATCAATGCAGATGCCCTTCAAATAACCTCTGTTGTGCAGGGGTGGGACAGGGAAGAACAGGCTTACATAAAACAATGTGCAAAATTGTTCCTGCTTCTAGGGACTGACTTCACATGACTGACATGTATAGCAGAACAAATAAGACTCAACAAGCCAAGGCACTATCCTTAAACAATATTCCCTTGGGCTAATAGCATTTAAGTCTTCATGAAATCTAGGAACTACATCCCTACTATTAATGTCCATCCTTAGAGATACAATCAGCATACACTCTAGAGGTGTCTAAGACTAGGTTGGATCATACCTTGCAAATCTTGGTCTAGTGAGAGATGTCTCTACCCATGGCAGGGGGGTTAGAACTGGATGTTTTTTAAGGTCCCTTCCAACCCAAACAGATTCCCATATAGACATTTAATGCAAGCTAAAAATATAAACCAATGAATTGAATTAATTTCCTGATCAGTTATTTTTAACTTTTATGGAAAGTCTCATTGGTGAGTTTCATCAAATGAGTTTTACAACTATGCTACCAATTCTCTTCATGCTGTATGTGTTAATTTTCATGATTTTCCAACAATAAAGTGATCACTTACTGCCAGGTATGTGAAGAAAATATTATAATCTAGCTTTTCTTTATATTTCTTACACCCTAATAGAAATAACTTCAACTGCAAATCCAGCTATTTTTCTATTTGGATTTCTACAGGTTTTGTTTGGTTTGGGGTTTTTGTTTTTAACCAGAATTAGTGAGTTTCCGGACTCAGAAAACCCCTGTTATCATTAGCACAATCCCTGGAGTTCTGTCCATCCCTCCAGGGCTCTACTTTTGTTTCAGTTCTATGGACAAAGACTAGACACTGCATTTTTTTCCTGTAGATTCACTTCCAGTCTGGCTTTTTTCTCTACGGTGGTTTTAGTGTCACAAATATTGATTTTTATAAAGTTACTTCTGCCTTATTTAAAGCAGAACAGACAGACTTCTGGCACCACAGTAGCAAATGTCAATAAATATTTAAAGAAACTGACTCTTCAACAGAGTCAGAAACCTGTAATCTGCACCAGGTTTTCTGTAGCTCATTTATGGTTTCATAATATTGCCTTTTCCTGTTTCTGCTACTTTTAGGAACAGTCTTCATAGAACTGAAGTTACTGTCCCCTCAGTGGGCTAACAAATGAAAATAAAATTAAAACAATGTGCTGAAAGATGCAGGACAGCAGAAAGTTAAAATTATTCCTGTATCAGCCCCTCTGGTGAATGATGTACTACATGGGGAGAAGATAAGGAGTTTAACCTCAAATAATGAAGGGCAGACTCATGCCCCCATGACATGAGTTGAGGTCTGCTCTGCTATTGAAAACTAAACCAAATGGCAGGTTGTTCTCTAAACCACAGCCAGTTTCAGACAGGAAGCTGTAATTAAAGCATAAGCCAAAAAATGCTCCTCAGTGGAGCTTTATCCATGTTGGATAGTTTAAAGTATGAGAGGACTTTGCCTTTTCTGAAACAAACAGGGAAGGTTGAATGTGTTTCTTGAGGAGATAAATACGTAGCAAAAACAACAGCCCAGAAATGGTCACATTGTCTCCTTTGACCAAAGAGACTTCATTTTTTTTCTGCCAGATTTAATGTGGCCCTTAATAAGCAATGCTCACTAACCTCCAATTTAAGAGGAAATTAAGACTGTGATTAGAAGACAGGATTTCACAGCACCCAGCCCAATGTGTTTTACTAATTTGAAAATATTTCCTACATTTAGCTTCAACTCCTACAAAGCCATATACACACTTAACCTCGTTACCTGAGCTAACAAAACAATGTAGAAGTTCCTTAAAAATAAATCTCAAAAAAAGATGTTCCTTAAAACTTTAAAGACTTTTTGCTTAACATTGGTTTTGAAATAGAAATTTCTTTATTTACCTAATAGAGCATAAAAATATTTAATAAAGTTAATGTACCAAAGATACTGCATGCTACTTTTTTTTCTCCAAGGCACATAGGGCTCACTAGGGTGATCTAGGGCTCTGCCACCACCAAAAGGCACATTCTTACCATCTCTTTAATGTTGACTAGTCATTCAGAGGCCGTGTACAGGTCATATCAGCTTGCTTTTCCCAATGAAATATAATCTCTTTTGTTCAGAGCAGGGCAGGACCTTTTTATTTTAGTAGCAGAGTAATCTTAGATCGCTTCTGAGTCAACACAATTCATGGATGCCATTTACAGTAGATGCAGAGTGATTTTGGAATGGTATTCATGGGGGCTTTCTAGTACAATCCAGTTACAGAGCAAGCCTAAAACTG